TGTGTGTGTGTGCGTGTGTGTGTGTGTGTGTGTGTGTGTGTGTGTGTGTGTGTGCGTGGGCGTGTGTGCATGTGTGCGTGTGTGTATGTGTGTCTTCGATCGGATTTTTTGCACCGAACCGCCCAACGCAGATGCCCCTCAGCCGCCAGCAGCTTCCGATAGTTGCCGATGGGCGGGGCATGCGGGGGGCATCTCTCTGCGACGGCTTGGTGCACCCGCGGATCGCTTTCATGCCCCCCCTCACAGGGTCGCCCCCCTTTTGGTGGATCCCGACTTCCCCTTCTCGTCTAGGGAGGGCATCAGCGGACCACGCCGTCGACGAACGCCTTCTGTACGTGGCGATGCGAATCTCGACGCGCGGCATCGCAGCACGCCCCGCGTGCCGACGCCCGCCGGCACGCGGAGGATGCGCGTACATACGCGCGTCGGCACGCAGGCTTTGCTGCGCGATGGCCATGCCGAGATGATCATCGGGATTAGCATCGCCGCTTCGCGAATGTCATCGCCATGTCGAGGTTATCACCGAGACTGTTGGCGACAAGTGTCTCCGAAAGTCCGCGCGTGTGTGCCCCGGGCGCATCTCAGGGATCCTGGCCGGGTCGAGCCTGGGCCCGAGATTTGGTGGACCCCAAACGTGGTGGTGAGAACACCCAGTGGTGAGTTTTGGGCGATTTGGGTAATGGTTGTCGAGCGCTGGCTGGCTCAGTCAGGAAACGCAAAACCTCGTGGCGACCGCGTGTCCCCAAACCCGGTGGTGACCCAGAATTATTTCTTTGGGGAATCGGGGTCACCACCGGGTGTCTCACCACCTGGTTTGGAGACCACCAAGAGATCGATGCACATCGTGCCCTCCTGGTTCCGGCCAGGAGGGCGCATCATCGCCGCCCACAAAACCACCCCAGCCCGACCCGAAGGCTCAGGCCCCGAGTTGCCCTCCATTTCCCAGGAGGGGGGGGGTGCGGGGAACATTGGCGAAAGGACCCAGCCATCTGCAGTTGTGAGCAACGCGCTGTGGGTGCCGCTTCCGGTGGGCCACGCAGCGCGTGATGGGGCGTGCCGTAATGGGAGGAGGGGGGGACGCATGCGGGCGGGCCCATGGAGGCCGTCGGTGGAGCTCCCTGTGGAGCCACGAAGCGCTGGGCTCCGGTTTCTAATTGAAGGCATACTAGCGTGCCGATGTCCGCCGATTCGACTTCTCCTGACCTGGCCGCCGATTTCTGCCGATCCGATTCCTTTCGCTCGCCGATCTGACTTATCGAGTCGATTCTGGGCTCTCCTGCCAATCCCCGAGTTCCGCCCGAAAAGTTTGGCCGCTCAGAACAAAAAGGGAAACCGCGGGATGCACCCCAGTGGGGCCATTAGGGCGCACTCCTGTCGAGGAGGAACGCCTCCCCCTCGTGTATCCCGGGGTTGGGCCCAAAGTTCGTGGTCCGACCGACGAGCCCACGGTGCCCCGCATAGGGGTCGACACGTTCCCTGTTATCAGCTGGCCTTCGAAGCCGAGGCCCGGGCCGAGGCCCAGGCTGCCGTGGGCGCCCGGACCCTGGAGCCAGGGCAGGGCCGCCGTGGAGCTCGTGCCGCGTCGGAGCTCTCCCGCCAGCCTGAAGTCATTGAGCATGCCGTACGGGCGCGGCCGCAAGACACCCTCGCGAGAGACCCAACCCTGAAGACCCGCGCGCGAGGTGCACTTGAGGGGAAACCTGGAGCACCCTGAACGCAGCCGTTCCTTCCCCGGCTGCGGGAAGCCACGGCGCGGCGCGCGGAGCGAAGAAGCCCAGGATACCCTGACGAGGAGCAGATGGTTTCTTGATGCGCGCCCCCGCTGTAACACGCTGGATGATTGACCCAACTTAGGAAGACCCCCTAACCCTAATGTGTTTGGCCCTTCCAACTCAGGTCCCCTCTCAAAGGATTCGGGTTTGTCTTATTGGTTAGCATGAAGCATCTCCCTCTCCGCATCGCCGTATCTCGATGCCGATATTGAGGGCCTTCTCCGTTTCAGAGGGCGCATCCATGACATTGCCATTGTTCCCAACCATCCTGTGGTGTTGGGTCCTCGTTTTGAAGAGACGGTCCCCGCGTTTCTCTTCTCCTCTCCTCTCCTCCTCCTCCTCCCCTCCCTCCTTCTTCTATGCGTTTCACCCACCCAGTACAGCGCTTCGTGGCCCCATAGGGAGCTCCACCGAAGGTCCCAGTGGTACCGCCCGCATGCGTCCGCCACCACCCAGCACAGCCCTTGCTCCCTTCCTTTCACCCACCCAGTACAGCGCTTCGTGGCCCAATAGGGGGCTCCACCGAAGGTGCCAGTGGCACCGCCCGCATGCGTCCGCCACCACCCAGCACAGCCCTTGCTCCCTGCGTGTCACCCACCCAGTATAGCGTTGCGTGGCCCATAGGGAGCTCCACCGAAGGTCCCAGTGGCACCGCCCGCATGCGTCCGCCACCACCCAGCACAGCCCTTGCTCCTTGCGTTTCACCCACCCTGTACAGCGCTTCGTGGCCCCATAAAGGGGGCTCCACCGAAGGTCCCAGTGGCACCGCCCGCATGCGTCCGCCACCACCCAGCACAGCCCTTGCTCCTTGCGTTTCACCAGCCCAGTACAGCGCTTCGTGGCCCCATAGGGGTGGCACCGCCCGCATGCGTCCGTCACCACCCAGCACAGCCTTTGCTCCCTGCGTGTTACCTACCCAGTGCATCGTTTCGAGGCCCCATAGGGGGCTCCACAGAAGGTCCCAGTGGCACCGCCTGCATGCGTCCGCCACCACCCAGCACAGCCCTTGCTCCCTTCCTTTCACCCACCCAGTGCAGCGCTTCGTGGCCCCATAGGGGGCTCCACCGAAGGTCCCAGTGGCACCGCCCGCATGCGTCCGCCACCACCCAGCACAGCCCTTGCTCCCTGCGTTTCACCCACCCAGTACAGCGTTGCGTGGCCCCATAGGGGGCTCCACCGAAGGTCCCACTGGCACCGCCCTGGCACCATACGAAGCTCCACCGACGGCCCCAGTGCTACCGCCCGCATGCGTTCCCCCCCACCCAGTGCAGCGTTTCGTGGCCCTATAGGGAGCTTCACCGAAGAATGTATTCACGTTTGCGGTACCCACAATTGCATATGGTTGCTGGGTCTTTCGTCAGGATAATTTTTTGGGACCCCCGACCCCAGGGATGAGGACAGGCTCGAGGCTAGTTGCCGCTGGTTCGGCTCCTGGCACCGCTGTGCCGCCTCTGGGTGGCCAGCCCCCGCCGCGCGGTGCCCCCGCCGGCCAGGTGTGCCGCCACATAGCCGAGACGAACGGTGTGAGGCCTGGCGAGGGTGGCGCCAGACTGGATGGGTATGGGGCGTTTGTGGGCCTCCTTCGTGCACGCAGCTCCGTCCTTCCTTCCTCCTCCTCCTCCTCCTCCTCCTCCTCCTCCTCCTCCTCATCATCATCGTCATCCTCTTACTGTTCCGTTTCAAACCCTTTGAGGGCCTAAAGCCCATTTCGAACCTTTTGAGGGCCGAAAGCGTCCCATGCCTATCCAGTCTGGAGCTGCGAGGGGGGGGCGCGGGGGGCGGAGATCACGAGCGGCGGACATTTGTTCCCTCTAGTTGGGCCGACAACCTAGGCAGACATAAGCTCAAAAGCATGCATACGTGGGGCCAGCGGAGGCCAGGCCTGAGCGGGCGCCACTTCGTCAAGCGACACCTTTGTGCGCAGCCGCTTCGTGGGCGGGATGGCCTCCCACGCCACCGCACTGGGCGGAGGGGGGACATCTTCCAGACAAGAAACACCAGCTTTTGGCGACGACGCATCCGTATCCGCGATCTCGCGGCCTGGATTCGGGGCGCGATTTCGCGGATGCGGTCACACGGATACTCCAGATTTCGTAATAAAAGGAGGGGGTCTCATTTCGGGGGGGGTCTCTTCCAGGCTATCTTGGAGGGCCTGGGGGGTCTGGGGACGATGTTTTGGAGGGTTGGAGAGTCCAGACCCCCTCCCTTTTATTACGAAATCTGAAGTACGTTCCGCGCAGGGCATCTGAGAGAAAACGCACCCACATCTGCGGGGTCGCGGCCCAGAGGCCTGGCCCGCGAGGCCGCCGATGCGGAGATGCGTTCCCCCCGCGAGGGGGGGGGGAGAAGGGATGCCCAGAGGCTCAGAGAGCAATAGATTCCCGGGAGATTCTATTGAGCCGGCGGGTTTCTTTCGATGTCGGCCACGGCGGCCCATTTCCAGGCCTTCGGACCGTGAAAAACAAATCTGGGAGAAAGGATACCCAGACGCTCAGAGACCAATAGATTTCCGGGAGATTCTGTTAAGCCGGCGGGTTTATTTCGATGTCGGCCACGGCGGCCCATTTCCACGCCTTCGGATGGGGAAAAGCATAACAAGATGTGCCTTTTTGGGAAGGGCCCGGCAGCTCCTGGGGCCGAAGAGTTTTGAGACGAAACGTCTCGTGGCCATGTTCGGGGCCTCGGAACAAGGAAGCGCCTGCGCCTTTTCACTGGAATTGGAGGCCTTTTCACGGGCCACGGCGCCGTCACCGAATGCCTCGGGTGGAAAAGAGTTGGCCCCAGTGGTCGAGAGAGCCGATCAGAGCCCCGAATCATCAGGGGTAACTCGGGTCAGGGCTAACTCGGGTTCGCTTTTCGGGATTCCGAACCCGAGTTATCCCGGACCCGAGTTACCCCGGATATTTCGGGCGTCCAGAGCCCCGAATCATCAGGGGTAACTCGGGTCAGGGTCAACTCGGGCTTGTTTTTCGGGAACCGAAGCCCGAGTTACCCCGGAGAACTCGGGCGTCCAAGCCGAGGCCCCGAGACTGGAAGACACCGAGCCGCCTCCTGAGCGCCGCGTATCCCATCCACGGCAGGTTCGCGCCGTGCCGACCGGCGGCGACCCCAGCGCGTGCGTGGTCGAGAGCGCCGCCCGTGGCCCGGAATTCAAACGACGCGAAGATCGGGACAAAATCGGGTCGGGATAACTCGAAATCTCCGAGAATCGGCGGGTTTGGAGGATGTTTTGGGCGCCGCGGCCGCTCCAGAGCGTTCCGGAACGCTCTGAGAGCGCTCCGGAACGCTCTGGAGCGATTTGTCCCGATCCTAGCCCTGTTTTAGGAATCGGCCCGAGCCGGCCTTCACGGAGCGGCCGATCGTTCAAGTTTGAACGATCCCCGCGGTGTCCAGGAACCAACGCCGACGCGAACCTGCCCCAGTGGAAGCTGCAGCCATGCCCCAGTCTCCGTACATGTCGCGTCTCGTTCCGCGCCTCCAGCCTTGAGCTATTTCCCGCTTTGAACTGCGCAACGCGATTGACACCTGAATCATCGCAGTATCGCCCTTCAGCGGTTGTAGACGTGAGACGCGAACCTGTCGTACCGCGACGGGGGAAAGCATTGTGAAGTTGGATCCGTCGGCGCACCCCTCGGGGGCGGCGGGAGGAGCGCGCAGCAGTGTGCACCACCATGCCTGGCCAGTGCCTGCTTGCCCCCGGGCATGGGGTATATTCTTACCGAGCCAAGGAGGGCCCGAGTATACAGTGGAGGCCATGCCAGGGAACACCCTGCTTGCCTCCAGGGTGCCCTGGGTCTCTCGGGGTGTCGCTGGTTCTGCGAGGGACAGCGCGACGTCCCCACACCCAAAATCCATGGACCTCCTGGGGTCTCAGGGTTGGGCTTCTCGTGGACGGTCTCTTGTGGATCGGCCCCCAGTGTCTACGCCCGCCCAGAGCGCCCCGGAGGGCACTGTCCAGGTGAGGTGGTGGTGCACGCCTGCCTCCTGCCGGAGGGCTCCACGGGCGCCGCGCCGGCCCGACGTCGGCCTCGGGGGGGCCTGGCTCGGTGCCTGGGCACCCGTGGAGGCTGGGAAGGCCGCCAGGCAGGTCGGTCCTGGACGGAGTGGGGCACAGGGGCCCGCGGCCTATGTCGGGTCGGGCGAAAGGGGGGGGATTGGGAAAGGGGGGGTTACGAAATCTGCCGCGTGCAGCCGGTTGCGGCCTCCCCGAGGGGCCCATTCCTCGATACATGGCCGCCTCCGGCGCGGGGAGGCGCCGGGAAAATCAGCTACGTGAGCTGATTCTCAAACCCCCCCTTTGCTATCCCCCCCTTTCGCCCGACCCGACTATGGCAGGGCGCAGGCGCGGGGCGGGAGAGCAGGACGAGGACTGCGACGGGAAGCGACTGCGAGAGGCCACGACGAGGAGAGGGCATGAGGAGGGAGGACTGCGAGGTGCACAGCGCTGCTGACCGGCGCTGGGGAGGGGGGGGGGGCCGGGGCACGGGGAGGGCAGGGCCCGGAGGAGGGCGGAGACGGTGAGTGGGAGGGGAGGGCGGAGGCGGACGCGGAGAGGGGGGGAGGAGGGATGGACGTGGGGAGGGCGGGCATCTCACGGGGGGCCAGCACGAGCGAGGCCCAAGAGGGCAGAGCCTCTTAGTGCCTCGAACGATCGACGACGACGACAGGGACAGCGGCACCGACCGACCGACCGATGATGACGACGGGCGACGACGACGACGAATAATCGACCGACCGACCGACCGACGACGACGATCTCGAATGACGAGCAGCAGCGGTAACAGCAACAGGAGCATCAGCAGCAGCAACAACGACAATCAGGTAAAGACTGTTCGCTCTCATCTGCTCGCGTACCATTCAGCACGTTGATCCCAAACCCTCGAGACCCGCCCTCTTCGTCTTCGATCGTACCCCCTTGGGGCATATCTTTGTTACTTGCAGCGTGTACCTCGCCCAGCCCCATGAGGCAGGGGCAGGGAGGACGGATGGAAGGAAGGGACAAGGGGAAGGAGGAGGATGGAGCACGAGAGAGAGAGTAGCACACAAGGGGAAGGAGGAGGAGGAGGAGGAGGAGGAGGGGGGGAGGAGGAGGAGGAAGGAAGGGACAAGGGGAAGGAGGGGGGAGGAGGGGGAGGAGGGGGGAGGAGGGGAAGGAAGGGGAAGGAAGAAGGGACAAGGGGAAGGAGGAGGAGGGGCGGGGGCTTAGGAAACGGAAGCACGTGGCACAACCAAACGGGCAGAACGAGCGGATAGACCACGCCGGGCGGGTCGGGAAGGCGGACCCAGGCGGCCAGGTCGAGCAGGCGGGTTGCTGAAGCGTGCGCCCTGCACGAATCGCAAGGAAGTCTCGAGCGACAGCGCGACTCCCAGAATCATCATGAGGAACACGTGGGAACATATGGAAAACATTGGGAAATATGAGGAAACCGTTGGAAAATATGGGAAAACGTTGGAACATGTTGGAAAATATACATTGGAAATCGTGGGAAACATGGGGCGTCTCTCTATCTGTGTGTACTCTCGTTTGTGTCTCCCGGGGCCCCCTCAGACTGGTCGGCTGCCGCGCCCGCCCCCGCGGGGCCGGCGCGGGGGCCGGCCACGTGCACGGCGGGCCAGCTAATTATAGGTTTGGCGGGGGCGCCCTGCGCAGACCGCGTGGCTTTCGGGGGCCCCCGCGGGCACGATGCAGGAGGAGGAGGAGGAGGAGGAGGAGGAGGAGGAGGAGGAGGAGGGGGAGGAGGAGGAGGAGGAGGAGGAGGAGGAGGGGGAGGAGGAGGAGGAGTAAGAGGAGGAGGAGGAGGAGGAGGAGAGGAGGCCGCCGTCGCGTTGCTTCGGGGGCGCCCTGGCAAACCTCTTGGCTGTGGGCCCAGGGGCTCGGATGTAAATTGCAGGAGGGGAAGAACACACACACAGACACAATTCATCGTCGACTCCCCAGAAAACGTGGGGAAATATTTGAAGTGGGGGGGAAGACAGAAACCCAGACAATAGGAGAACAGATGGGGAATCCTGTTATTCGTGTGTATTCATTTGTGTGTCCTGGGGCCCCTGCAGAATTGGTTGGCTGGTGCACCCGTCGGGTGGTGAGGCAACTTCGGTCGTAATGCGTCCAGTGTCGGGAGAAATCTGACACAGTCGCGTGGATTCGGACGCAGGGGGGCCGCGGAAATCATCCATTGCATGCAACCCTGCCGCGGCCTGCCATCGAACCCCAGTTGCCCGAATTTGTCTACCCGGGCCGTCGTTGGCCGTGTTGCCCAGGAAATCTCCGCGACAACATTTGTTATCGCCCAGTTGCGTTCCGGTCAGCAAGTTTCCGCGGCAACATTTGGTATCGCCAATGTGATTCCCGCTGTAGATCGTTCGTTGCTGCTCCCCCATGTGGCGCTAGCGTGCCCCGCCCGTCCTTTATCCTCGTCCCTTTGGTCAATATCTTGGCACACGTGCTACATATCGGGACAATAGGAATTACACATCCTAGTGCGTTGGGCTGCTAGCCTTACTTCGCCCTGTCCGCGCAGGGGCTTGGCTAGGGGAGGGAGGAGGAGAGGGTGGAGGAGGAGAGGGAGGAGAAGGAGAAATAATGAGGATGACGAGGACGAGGAGGAGGAGGAGGACAAAATAATGATTGGGACAGCCAAGAGGGGACAAGCGGACTGGGACGGAATGGAAGCAACCGGGGGGGAGCAACGGCCCGGTTGTGGCGGCGGCCGCCCTTCCGCCAAAGCTGGAGTTGTGGAGCGGGTGGCGCCTTTCATCCGCCTCCGGCCTGCTGCTGTTGCTGGTGCGTGTGCGTGTGCGCTTGTGTGCGTGTGTGCGTGTGTGCGTGTGTGCGTGCGTGCGTGTGTGTGTGTGTGTGTGTGTGTGTGTGTATGTGTGTGTGTGTGTGCGTGTGTGTTTGTGCTTTTGCCTGTGCGTGCGTGCGTGCGTGGGTGTGCGTACGACGCTTGTGAAAGAGAGTGAATGAGTGTGTGAGTGGGAGTGTGTATGTGCGTGCGTGCGTGTGTGTGAGTGTGTGTGTGCATGCATGTGCGCGGTTGTGTGCGTGCGCGTATGCGCGTGCGCGTGCAGGTGCACTTTCATGCCTGTATGTGGACGGGAGGAAGAGCATCGGATCCGTTTTGTTTGGCCGCCTCTTCTACTATCCTCCAGCCTCCTGTGCTTGCTCCTCCCCTCATCCTCGCTTTCTCTTCCTGGATCTTCCGTCTTCCGCCTCTCTCTTCCAGGTCCCCCCCCCTCGCCTCTCCCCGTGGCGCTTGCCCCCCCCCCCCGGCCCATCCTCTTAGCCCCCCTGTGTACTCTGCCCTCTCCTTTCCTCCTCCTCCTCCTCCTCTTCCTCCTCCTCCTCCTCCTCCTCCTCCTCCTCCTCCTCCCCCTCCTCCCCCGCCGTCTCTCCTCTTCGTTTTCCCCTTCCTCCGTCTCTCCCTTCCAATCCTCCCCATTCTGTCCCCCTGTCCGTATCCTTCTCCTGCCCTTCCTCTTGTTTTTTCGTCCCATATGGCCCTTCCTGGTCCGCCTCCTCCTCTTTTTCTTCTTCTTCTTCTTCTTCTTCTTCTTATTATTATTATTATTATTATTATTCTTCTTCTTCTTCTTCCTTTAATTCTTCTTATTTCTACGCGCCTGCCCCTTAGGTGGCGTTCACTCCTCCTCCTCTTCCTCTCCTCCTCCTCCCCCTCTCCTCATCCGCCTCATCCTCCTCCCCTCCCCGCGGTCCCTCGTTTCATCTTGTTCGTCCCGTCCGGATCGTGTTTCCACCCTCGTCTCCTCCAGCGTCTCAGTTCCCTTGCCCCTCCTCCGGCGATTCCTCATTATCCTCTTCATCGTCTCCCCCTCTCTCCCGTCCTATTTCCGACGCCCCTTTCTGTAGATTCGGTCGTGCAGATCCAGACACGATCCTGCGAGAATGCACCTTCCCAGTAGTATCAGGCGGGAGCCGCTATTGTCGTAAACGGGGGGTCATCAGCTTAGTTCTGAGACCCGAGATGTTCCTGATAAAATGCAGGGTGCGAGGCCCGGGAAGGGCACTTCAATGGGAAAAGCACCATGTGCCCTGGAGGGGGGGGATCAACATTTTTTTCTTCGAAATGAAACTTCAACATCAAATCCCAAGACGGCCGACGAGGTCTCGGGAAGCCTCCAGGAGGTCCAGGAAGGGGCCGATGAGGCGGGCGAGCCTCGCCCTCCGAGCTTCGCGGCGTGGACCCCGGAGGTTTTGTGCGTGGTCTTCATCGCCCGCCGCTCTGCGACGGGCCCGAGGCCGCAGGAGGAAGAGACACCGTCCGCAGTCTCTTGCCTTCTCGCGCGAGGCTCAGGCCGTCGCAAACATGGATCAGGGGGGCGTGGATTAGCGACGGGGCCCGTTTCCTTGTTGGAGAAGCGCGGATTTCCGCCGCCGCCAGTCGCACTGTGGGGAGGGCGCCTACCCCGATCCACGGATCGCTAATCTCGAGTCGGGCCTGTCCCTCTGCAGGAGGAAGATGCAAGAATAGCCAAAAAATAGTCAGGGGGCGATTTGTTTTACTATTTTTGACCATGTTGGAGTATTTGTTGTTACTATCTTTTCTCTTTCGTCCAAAATTCGCCTGTAGGGGGACATGCCCGACCGAACGCTAATCCATGTTTGCGCGCCCCCGAGAGGAGCGGGGCGCGAGCCGGACGTTGCTTTGTGCGAGTCCGTGGGCCGTTCTCGCATCGACTGCGGCCCGCGGCAGAGGTGGAGCGAGGGCAGAGCGAGAAGAAGCGGCAAGGAACGAAGAGGGAAAGCGCTGTTTATCGGAGGTGGATAGACCTCCTACCCTGACACGTCGATTAGCGAATTTGCCGTTTTCGGTTCGCGAGAGGGCGTCGCGGCCGCCGTTTTAACGGGTCCAGGTCCGTCGGTTTCGGTCCTAGGCCGTTTTCACTAAAGGGTGGTTCACTAAAGGGAGAACTGTCCACCGCCGAGTTCACAGTGGAGGCCCGTGCCAAGAAGCACCCTGCCTGCCTCCAGGGTGCCGCCGGGCGTCCTGGGTTTGGGTAGGCTGTGCTGTGGAGTGCGTGGTGATCCCGCACCAAATCCAATGGGCGTCCCGGGGTCTTCGGGCGACGAAATCTATGCATATCCACTGCTCCCCGGCCAGGCCCAGCCTGAACCTGGGAGCTGTGTATACGCCCTCCTGGCCGAGCCAGGAGGGCGTGACGCGTACACCGCTGCTGGGTTCAGAATGGGCCTGGCCAGGGAGCAGTGGATATGTATAGATTTCGTCGCCCTAGGTCCCAGGGTTGGGCTCCTCGTGGTCGGGCCTCCACTGCAGCTCGCCGCCGCGCCCAGGCGGGGAGGCCGCGCAGCTTCCCGCTGCCACCCTCGGGGTCGGGCAGCGGCGTCCGGGGGTCGGCGGGCGGCGGGGCGGGCCGCGAGAGGCCCCCCGCGCGGTGTGCACGATGTTCCAAGGCTCCGGGCCTCCTGGGTGGGGTCCGAGCAGATGGGGTCCTCCTCCTCCTCCCCCTCCTCCTCCTCCTCCTCTCCTCCTCTCCTCCTCCTCCTCCTCCTCCCTCCTCCTCCTCCTCCTCCTCCTCCTCCTCCTCCTCCTCCTCCTCCTCCTCCTCCTCCTCCCTCCTCCTCTCCTCCTCCTCCTCCTCCTCCTCCTCCTCCTCCTCCCTCCTCCTCCCTCTCCTCCCTCCTCCCTCCTCCTCCTCCTCTCCTCCTCCTCCTCCTCTCCTCCTCCTCCTCCTCCTCCTCCCCCTCCAACTTCTGGTGGTGGTGGTGGTGGCGGAAAACAGGCCCATCATAAGTCGGGCCTGTCCCTCTCCAGGAGGAATCGTCCAAAATAGTAATCTAGGCCTCCTGGGTGGGGTCCGAGTAGGTGGGGTCGGAGGATCGCGCCGCATCGCCGATGCATCACCGATGCTGCTCGATGTGGTGCCCGATTTGCTTCACGTCGACGTCGCCGATGCATCGCCGACGCCGACGATGCATCGCCAGTGCATCGCTGGTGCATCGCCTGTGCATCGCCGATGCATCGCCGATGTATCGGCGATGCGGCGCGATCCTCCAACCCCATCTACTCCGACCCGATCTAGGAGACCTCTAAGGATGCCAGCGAGCGACGTTCCAAGGTTGCCAATCGGTCGTTGAAAGTACATATTTTTGGAATCCCAGGTTACAATCTACTCTTCAAACGCTTGCCTACTTCAATGCTCGAGTGGGTTCAACCTTTCCGTCCTTTTCAGGGGGCGGGCGGAGACCACATCTATTTCCAACGCCTTCCTACTTCGTGTTTCTTCTCGCTTCTCCCGACCGATGTGTACCTTCGCATCCTTCCCCGTCGGCCCATCCTTGGCCTCTTTGGCTGGCCGCACCCCGCTCGCAGCATTGTGTCGACATGGCCTTCCAAGGCCCTTGCAGCCTTATCGTTCGTCCTTGCTGTACGGGTTGTCTGTAGTCAGGACCCTGGGTAAGGGGAGCCGGTCAGTGATTGGGCCCCGAAGCCACAAAAATGAGCCAGAATTCCGAGACCAGGTCTGCCGTAGTTGGTGCTTCCTCGGGTGGCGACAGTTCTGGTGAGCGGAACGGGCCAGGGGGGCGTCCCTGGTGCACATCATTGATAGACCAGGTCCCACACCCAACCCCCTCATGGAGCGCCGCCGGCGGAGGCCTGAGGACGTGGGGATCAAGCCCGGCGTGAGGCTGGTCCTCGGGAGCGAGACGCAGCGCCTGCTACCCTCCCCGCAGGACGCGGAAGCGCCGCACCCGCCCGCGGCCCGCCGAGGTCTCTTCGGCGATGCGACCTTAGATCTTTTCAGCCATGGCGCCTCTTTCCTGGGTCTCTGACGATACGATGTCTTCATCGGTACGATCGGAATGGAGTTTGTTTTGCATTCCGGGGCGGTAACGGGCGTCACCAGGTGGGGGGAAGGGGGCCAGTGACGTCACGTTTCGCGCCGGAGGCGCCTGGGAATGCCCAGGAATGGCCATAGATGGCTAGGAGCAGCATGTCGGTGACAATCTGCACCACCGCGCCTGTGTGAACCACAAGGCTCGCGTGCACCACAGCGCCTTTGTACACCACAGCGCCTATGTACACCACAGCAGCCGCGTGCAACATAGCGCCAGCGTGCACCACAGTGCCTGTGTGCACCACAGCGCTTGTGTACACCACAGCGCCTGCACACACCACAGCAGCCGTGTGTCACGCAGCACCAATGTACACCACGGTGCCTGCGTGCACCAGGGCGCTGTGTTGACCACGGCGCCTGTGTGCACCGCAGCATCCGTGCGCATTAGAACACCATTGTTGCATATAGAATTGTAGGGTTTCGGTTCGGTTTGGAGGACCGTGGAGACCTGGTCAAGCCAGGGCACTGTGAGCTGCGGGAAGGGGACTCCGCACTTTGGGGGCAGCCCAGCCCCATCGACATTCGACTGAGCACCTCTGCCCCCGCCGTTGTAGGGCGAGGCGGACATTCCTTGCTCAAGTCGCGCACGGCCGAAAGGCCCGCACTGCCGACACAACAGTACACCACGAAGGACACACAACGTGTGTGTGTGTGTGTGTTCTGTACACCTTAGGCGATGCTTATGAAAACCAAAATTTTCGGCCAGAGTCTCGATTATTCTTAATGTTCCAGTGTAAATCCTACAAATTTGGTAGATATTTTGAGTTTTTATCCATATTCTGAGACTATGAATTTCTTAACCCATGATTTCTTAAGCATTTCGCAGGGTGTACACAGGTGGGTGCAACACGTGATTCATGGGCTCATCCTGGACCAGGACCCTCGCTCCACAACCAGGGCCCCGCCCAAAGCGCAAGAGGGGTCCTCATGGGAAACTTGCGCTCGCAAGCATGACGGCGGAAGAGACCTCCCTTCGTCCGAGGCTCGTGCGCAGCGGCTCTCAATCGCTGCTGACGGGTGGCGAACGAGGAGAGAGAGCGAGGGCGTGGTGGCGGCCTCCCTACCCTAGTGGCGGCGGTCCTGGCACACGAAGCAGCAGCCTCATAAAACCGTGACCCGACCAGGACCCCGATGATCGAGTGCTCCCCAGATCAAGATCCAGAGATCATGCATCGTCGAAGAGCTTCTCACCTGAGCTCGTGGCTTGTGGACAGCACGAGCAAGAGGTAAGACATCGGTATACAAAACAATATCACGAGTAGTATGCCGCAGAACCGTGAGGAACGCATATAGTTCAGCCCGGGGGCTATTTTGGGCAACGGTGGGTAGGGTCCCACACATGATTGCATCCAGCCGAAGCTCATACTCATGTTCAGCACACCCATAGTTTAGCATCGCCGGGCCCGGCCTGACGAAGTTCTCTGTTGGTCCCCAGCAGCTTCACGATAGCCCACGCACGCCGACGGAGACGCACATCTTTAGCACGGGGGTCTCCAGAGCCATCGAGGCCCCACATACCGCCATGCATTTTGTGTTGGTGAAGGAGCAGGCCCCAACCCCAGGCATAGGACTGAGGAGCAGGAGCCAATACGACCGTGCCGCTGGAGCTCGGAGTCCCACGGGACAAGAACGCAGAGCTGGGGTCGGCGGCGAGAGCCTCCTTCAAACGGTTCGTGGTGAGGGCAGCCGTGCTAGACGCATATAGCAAATAGTCCTTGCCAGGGCACGCCCAGCACCGGTGCTGTGGGGTCCCAATCCCATCGGCACAGCGTAGGCATCGACCATTCGTAAGATAGCCTGTGTCACGTAGGCGGGCCTCTGGCCAGCACGCAACAGTCACACTAGAGGCATGGCATGGCATGGCAGCACGCTGGTAGTCCAGTTCCTTCAAAAACGACGGGTGCAAACGTCGGAAGACCGTAACGTCGGGAACAGATTGCAGGCCCTGCCCACAGTAGCGCTCCGTAGCCTTACTCCAAAACTGGGCGGAGACGGTGGCACGAACACGCGTAACAAGATGAAACCGAACAACAGGATCACTTAACCCAAGAGGAGGTGCACTAGGGACTGCCAAGAGGTCAATCTTTCGAGAAACCCTGCCGAGGTCCAGTAGGCTGACATGGGTGGAATTGAGGGCCCGGTCATTCTTCTCCACCGCTCAGCACCAGGAAGGGTATCAAAAAGGGAGAAGCGAGTCCATGCTCGTCGCACTCCACTCTGAGTAATAGCAGGGAGTGAAGTCTAAACCTCTGCTGGAGCTGCAAGCTGTTCAATACGCAACCTGTAGACGGGGCCGTCCTTGAAGTCAGTTAGGATATTGAGGACGGTGGTAATACATGCTCCCGAACTCCAAAAACCTGACCAGCTCGCTGCCGAGGCCCGAAATTTGCGGAGCTTCCCAGGAGGTAGGCCCAGCACAGCGTGCCCCCAGGAGCCCACCGAAAGCATACCAGGCCGAACGACCTTCCTTGACGTGCCACACAGGGCCGCTAGGTACTTGACCTTGCGGGATCGGCGGACAACCACAGTACGTCCAAGTTTCAACTGCCATGTGCGGCGACGCTTGCCAACAGTAGTGGTGGTTCCCAGGTCCTTACCATAACAGACGAAAGGGAGGTCAACGCCAAGCTGGCGAAACTCAATGGCCAAGGATCGCTCCACGTCCTTGTCGAAGCAACGGCACAGGACTTCTGGAACATGAAGCATCCAATGCCCTGCACATCATCACGGAAGGATTGCATTGCAGTTGGGAAATGCTGCACCAAGAAGGACGGCGTACCCTGGAGAACTGATTGATGCCGTCGGCATAGGAACGGATGGGAACTCTAACCACACCAGGGCTGGCGTTGCTAGACACTGCCGATGGGATTTTTTGATGGGTCCCCTCGAGGACGACTTAAAGGTAGCACTTGATTCAAGGCATGCTCTGGGCGCAACCTGCCAAGATAGATTCCCCAGCTTCCCAAACTCGGAAGAGCCTGCCTTGGACGTCCAAGGTCCGTGGGGCCTCATGAATAAGCATTCCCCGGCATAGCAGATAGGAAGGGTAGTTCTGCTTAGTAGCGAGGTGCATGAGACGCGACGGCGAAACCGAGTCGAAGAAATGATCCATATCCCAATGGGCTGACACCGCCGACATGCCACTAGAGGCCGCTACTGCAGAGCAAACCTCCCGGTACAGATTGGCCTGCAAGGCCGAGGAATGTTTGACAGCAGTGTCCCAAATTTTCAGGTGATCGTTATTACCGAAATCAATATCAAAACCAAGCTCTTTACAGTAGATGCGGTATACAATAGGGCATTTAACAATAGCCCGCCCCTGGGGTGGAAGGTGAGCTGGGGTCAGAAGGTGCGCTGGGCTTCAACTCCGTGCAAGATGCCGAGGAACTGCTCGAGCGCCACGACGGGCAAGCCGAGCAACCAGCGCGGAGCCCAGCAATCGACACCAACCGACGTGCTGGACGAAGCACAGGCACAGGCACGACAGAGGTCACGCATCTCCAGCGGCTCGACCTCCGTGAGAGCTGTCTGCGCCATAGCTCGCAGCTCGTCAAGTTCGGGGGAGCGTAAGACCCGGGTTTGCCGGGACTCGGGTTCGCCATCGTTTTTTGACGACCGCGACTCGGATTTTGACGAGGAGGAGTTTTGTGGGATGTCTGCAGCGGGAGGCCTCGTCAAAATGCAGGCTCGGCCTCGTCATTTTTTTGACGACCTCGTCGGGGATTTCCGAGTCCCCCGTACCCGGGTCTTACGTCTCCCCGACAAGTCCTGCATTAGAAGAGGTAAGGGTCACTGAACAAGGAGTCCACCAATTGCCCTAGAAGGTCTCCCTGTGGCCCATCATGCTAGCATGATCATTCACAACGCCCTCGGGGGTCCTGAAGCACTCAACGTGGACCTGCTCGTCAGTTTTGAGGTGCACGTGGACCTTTTTCGCATCCCTGGTGAGGGAGACCCGAAGCTACTCCTGGTTAGCGTGCCTGTCCTTCGCATGGGCCCGAGACCAAGCGTTCCCACAGACTCTACCAGCTCGTTCGCACATAAGCCAAGCATCATCAATAATGTACCGGGGAGTCCTCCAGGAGGGTGTTCCAAGCGAGTGAGGACGAGTAAGATGAAGAGGAGGAGGATGGAAGATGGAGGATGAAGGCGGGAAGAAAATGGCATTTTATTTTCAACACTCCCCTGGCGTGGTGTTTAGTAGTCCGCAGCAGATCCTCACCTACATGTTCATTCTACCTGTCCTGTGCACGCAGATAGCGTGGTGTACAGCAGCGCTGCGTTGTACGCGGGTGCTGTGGTGTACATAGGCGTTGTGGTGCCCACAGGCGCTGCGGTGCACGCCAGAATCGGTGTGCTCAGGCGATGTGTTGCAGATGGCTGCTGCGGTGTACACATTCGTTGTAGTGTACGCAGGCGCTGTGGTGCACGCAAGCACGGTGGTATACGCAGGAGCTGCGTGGCACATGGCTGCTGTGGTGTGCGGTGGCGCTGTGGTGTACACGCGCGCTGTGCTGCACGCGAGCACTGTGGCGCACACAGGCGCTGTGGTGCAGATCGCCACCTGCCTGCTGCTCCTGTTTGGCCTCTCGGTCATCCCTCGGCATTCCTGGGCGCCGCCGGCACGGCAAGTGACGTCACCTTGGGAGGGGGCGGCGCTGTCGCGGAATGAAACACAGGCCCATGGGTACGGGTAGAGTGGGTGCGACAATCAAGAGCAGTTCCCATCTATTTCGAACCGAGTCGCTGGCGCCGTCGCTGCGGGAAATGTCAGGCAGAGGGCCGCTTGCCCACCAGCGCCCGCTGCCGGTTTTGGACACCGTTTTTTTGCTGGGCATCGAACCCATTCTTGCCGTACCAATTCCGGGTGTTTGAATTCCAGTCCCAGTGGTTTCTTCGACTTCGGTCTCTCTGGTTTGTTGCCAGGCTCCAGGGCCATCAACATCGCCTCAATGATAACATAATGTTGGGAAAGAGGTCAGGAGCGTTGGGCCCGAGTACTGCAAAACGCTGATCGTCGGGTGTCTGGGTTCCCATAGCCTTCCAGACCCGCTCTCGGAGATATGACCTGCAGGTGTAGATTTCACCCGTGGTTGCCTAATTACCTGTCCCTCCTTCGGCGGCGCAGGACGATGAGGGGTGCAGGTACATGCCGAACATCGCGCGCCTGTGGAGCAAAAGTCTCTGGCCCGCCGCCGACCCTTGCCGGGGTCGAGCATCGCCCGCGCCGTCGCCGCCGCTGCCGCCGCCGTCGTCTTCGGAGGAGGAGGACGACGAGGAGGAGCAGGAGGAGGAGGAGGAGGCAATGGAGGGCAGGGGGGCGAGGGTGCGACTCACTGCCTCTTCCACCAAGACCACCGCGACCATTGCGACAGTGACACCACGATGCCCACGACCACGACCACCACTTCCACCACGACCGCGACGACCGTCACGACCACCACCACGACCGGGACCTGTACGACCGATGCTTCGTCGACTACTCCAACGATGCCCGCCCCCCGCCCCCGTCCCCTCTTCTCTCCTGTCCCTTCTGTCCGGCGGCCCTTTCTTGCTGCGGGGTTTTCCTGTCCCTCCCGTTCCCCCTCTCCTTTCGCGCGCCGCAGCGAGTGCCCCCCATCCTTCCCGAAGGGGGTTCGATGAATCGTGGTGTGTGCTTCGGCGCCGCTGGCGTGCTGTCCCGCCCTCGGCCGCGTTGGGGTCGCGAGTTCGTGTTTTGAACCCCCGCCGCCAACGGGAAGGAAAACGAGAGAGAGAGAGAGAGAAACAACCATAATTTAACGAGAAACAGACATCGAGAGATAACTACACGACATCTAAAACAAGTTATGCTTAGCTAGATAGAAGCAGAAACACATAACGACACACATACATGTACTGAGGGTGGACATGCATACATGCATGTAGTTACGATCTCTGTCGTGGATCCCGAACATTGTGTGTTTCGGGCCATAGATGTGAGGCAATGTATGTGGTGAATTCTACGCACCATACGTGCGCAATGCATGTGCTGCAACGCATGTTCGCTCACATTGACTTATCAACTCCATTGCTGGCGCAATCATCCCACCCACCCAGCAACTTGGCTTGCAAAACCCATGCGGCTGAGATTGCGACGATTGCATGGCGTTGGCTGGCGCATCTCTGCGGCCGCGCGAGCGAGGGCTGGCTCGCGCGCAGAGCGGCCAGATAGCCTGCCGCGACCGATGCGGCCGAGGTGGCGTAGACCGCTGAGGACTTCTCAGAAGTGTTTTGCAAGCCGCGCTGACGCGCGAGCGCTTCAGTGCGAGTCGGTGATTCGGGTGGGCGCGGTATGATGGCGACGTCGACAGCAGCAGACACGATGATGCTAATAGCCGTTTTCGTGACGATGATGGCGATGACGACAGCAAGGCCAATGACGGCGCCAATGCTGATTACGCTGATTACAATGATGGTGCCCATGCGTATGCGGCGAAGGTTTGCGCAGGAGTTTGACATGCGAGCGCGGTCGCGGGGCGCGAGTGGCCTGCGTGGTATCATTGGAATGGGATCGCGCCCCCCCCCCCCGCCCCAAATAAACGCTCAAAAGAAGGCCGAATGATGTCGACAAGCTCTTTCCGGAAGCCCGCTCTGTCGCATCCGCTGCAAATTTTGGAAAGCCATGGTTGGCGCGCAAATTCTTGACCGCGCGGGCATACATGCATTAAAGCATCATGTTGGAAACCAATTGGGTGTTGCTTATACGTTGTCAGGAGCCTCGGTCCTGCATCTCTCGCGCAACCATTCGTTTGCAAGGTTTCGGCATCCGCGCTCTGCCCCGCGTGCGTTTCAACTTCGCGGATGTGTTGTAAACGGGTGCCCGCGCATAGTTTGATTGACTGATGATGGGGTGCGGGATCAGGGGTCTGGCCAGGATGGTTTTGACCCGTGCCTAGCATGAACGATGGTGCATACTCGCGTCTAGCGTGTACTATTAGTGGACAACTGATAACACCCGGGGTGGGCGGGGACGGTACATCCTAAATTCGTTTTGTTTTGCGGCATAAAGAACCGAGCTGGTCCAATATGAGGTTGCATTGCATGTTGTACAATCGATGTTGCGCGATCTACGTGGTGTAGACCATTGTGTGCAACAGATGGAATGCCCGAGTATTTTGTGCAGTGCAATGCGGTGCAATATTTGTTGTGAAGATATTTTGTACAATGTATGCGAATCGTGCTACGTGGTTTTCTCAGTGTGGGTGGTACAGTTCATTGAACGACCCACGTGACGCAATCTACGTGGTGCAATCCATGATGCGCAATGGAATCTTGTCCGCCGTGAGCTGCCAACGCCACTGCTCGCGCAATGACCCCACCCACCCAACCGCAATTTGGTTTCCAAAACCCATGTGGGGGCGATTGCGATGAGTGTTCGGCGTTGGCTGGTACAGTTTTGCGGCCGTGCTAGCCCGCGCATGCTCGCGCGCTCGGCGGCCAGCTAGTTTGGCGCGACTGCTGCGGCCGCGGTGGCGCTGACAGCTGGGCATTTCCCAGCGGGCATTCCAATGCGAATCGGTGTGTTTGGCGGGCGCGGTGTCATGGCAACGTCGACACGCGACGATAGTGGCAACGACGACGGCAACGACATTGACGCTGCCAGTGCTGATCACGCCGACGACGATGACGGCGTTCTCGCGTCGGTGATGGGGGGGGTGAGGGAGTTCGACATGCGCGCGCGGCCGACTCGCGCGAGTGGCCCGCGTGGTATTGTTTGACAGGGATTGTCCCCCCTCCCCTCAGCACGCGCGGGCATGCGGTGCGAAAGGCCCGCTGGGCGATTTTGATGAACCCGTTGGAAAATCCATGGTTCGTTAAAATTGGCAAGAGCGCGGGCGCCATTTTTTCAAACCGCGTGTTGCAAAACCGCGTGTTTCTTATATGTGCTCGAGGCATTCGATTTTGAATGCACTACGAAAATACAATTTTTGACTGATTTCGGCATGCGCGTGCGACGACGCGCGCGCGTGCACTTCGGCCCTGCCGGTTCCACATATTATTGCGGCAACACGCGGGCCAGGGCGTTCGAGCGATCTCGACATGCGCACGCGAAAGGCACGTCCGCCAGTATTTGATGAATATTATGATGATTGCTGGTTTTTTCAAGCACCCGCCAAAACACGAACGCATTTGTTTAGAAAACGCCCGTTGCGAAACCATTGGTGTTTAATATGTTTTCGGAGAGTTCCCTTTTGAATTTGTTACGACATTCGAGGTTGTTGAATGACATCGGCATGCGCGCGCGACGACGCGCGCGTGTGTTTTTCGTTCCATCGTTTGCAGCATATTTTTTGGTAACGTATGATTTGAGCTAAACGTGTGCGCGCAGAGAATTTGTTGCAGTTGATGCGGGAAGGGCGATGGCGTGGGGCGATACCGGTGTATCTGGGAAATTACGAGTTCATATTTAGGATGGTGGAGTGTGCATAATAATCCGATACAATACGCGAAAAGGGTACTGTTAGATCTGGGGGGAGAGCCTGGGTTTATCATCTTAGAAAAGAGAATCTATGGATACAATCTTTGTTGCGCAATCTATGTAGGATATACGTGGTGCAATGTATGCGGTGTGCAATGTCTGTTGTGTGACGATGGGGGCACAATGACCTCCAGAACGTCCCACCTGCCCGGACGACGGGCGGCGACGAAGCGACGACGGGGCGGCGACGGCGGCAACATAACCGGCCAGACCATGACACCGGCCCAGACGACGGGCGGCGACGAGGCGGCGACGGGGCGGCTACGGCAGTAACGCAGCCGCCAAAGTGGCACACTGGCCCAGACGACGTGTGGCGACGAGGCGGCGACGGGGCGGCGACGGCGGTAACATAGTCGTCAGAACGGCACACTTGCCCCACACGACGGGTGGTGACGAGGCGGCGACGGGGCGGTGACGGCGGCAACATAACCGCCAGAGCGGCACACTAGCCCAATCTTAGAACAGAAGTGAGATCCCGGCATCGTTTGGGGAACCTGTTTATGCTTGCGTATATATATATATATATATATTATATATATATATATATACACATATATATATATATATATATATATATATATATATATATATATATATATATATGAGTGTATATATATATATATATATATATATATATATATATATATCCCGGGGGACGAGGTCCCCCGGCCGAGCCCAAGGACCTCGGGGGCGCATGGGGGTGCAGGGCCCCCAGGGCCGCTCGGAAGGGTTCCCGTTCGGTTCCAGAGACCGCCAGGGCGGGCTCCAGCCCAGCCAAAACAGCCCGCGAACGCTCCAACACGCGCCAGCATGGCTTCCAGACGAGCCCAGCGGCCACCAACACGCCCCAAGCGGCCTCCAAGACGCCTCCCACGAGAGCCCCAAGAGGCAAAAAACGCTGTTTTGTTTTAACTGGTTTTTCCATTGTTTTTTGTCTTCTCGCTTTTTCCTGCTTTCCGACGCTCCAAGACGGCCCAAGAGAGCCCAAGGACGGCCCAAGAGGCCCCTAAGCCGGCCCCAAGACGGCACAAGAAGCCCCCAAAAGCGTCCCGAGACGGCCCAAAAGGCCCCCAGGACGGCCCAGGAGCCGCCCAAGACAGCTCCAGGAGGGCCCCGCCATGGCCTGAAGACTGCCTAAGCGAGCCCAGCGGACCTCCAACAAGCGCCAGCATGGCCTCCAAACGAGGCCAGAAGCCACCAACACGCCCCAAGCGGCCTCCAAGAGGCCTCCCAAGGAGCCCCAAGAGGCCACAACCGTTGATTTTTCATTGTTTTTTTTCTATTTGTTTTGCCTTATCGCTTTTTCTGTTTTCCGACGCTGCCAGACGGCCCAAGAGGCACCCAAGACAGCCCCAGGACGGCCCCAGAGGCCCCTGAGCCGGCCCCAAGACAGCCCAAGAGGCCCCCAAAGGCGTCCCAAGATGGCCCAAAAGAGCCCCAAGACAACCCAGGAGCCGCTCAAGACAGCCCCTGGAGGGCCCCGACATGGCCTGACGACTGCCTAAAAGGCCAGCGAGCCTCCAACACGCGCCAGCATGGCCTCCAGACGAGCCCACAGGCCACCAACACGCCCCAAGCGGCCTCCAAGAGGCCTCCCAAGAGAACCCCAAGAGGCCACAAACGCTGATTTGTCATTGGTTCTTTCGATGTTTTTCGCGTTCTTGTTTTTTTTGCTTTCCGACGCTCC